GCCGTGCGGGGCGAGATGCACACCGGGGCCTGAGCTCTGGCCTCCTCAGCGAAGGCTCTCTGAGCGCGGCCCCCAGACCACGGCCGCGGCCTGGAGATGCGGGAGGCACAGTTCCTGAGCCCACCCTGGGGTGACTGAGTCAGACACTGTGGGGGGGGGTTTTTCGCAGCCCCTCCCCCCCCGTCACTACCGAACGGTAAGATCTAGAAGGGCAGGGCCGTGTGGCTGCCTCCTGTGCCCAGACCCTCCCTAACCCGCATCTTCACCAGGCAGGCACGCGGTCGGTGGTCAGCCTGTGCCGTGGCCTGGCCAGTGTGAACCAGCAGCTGTTATGGGGTGTCACACGCGTGTGCTGTCACAGTCAGGAGAGCTGGCTGAACGCGACTGCTGTTCATGCTTCACCACCGAGTGGCTGCCTATTTCCCAGGTGCCAGGCACCAACGCCGGCCCAGGGACCAGGGAGCCACCCTCAGGTCCCCAGCCCCCGCCCCCGCTGCTTCTGTCCCAGATCCTGGGCTCCCAGCATAGTCCTGGGGTGGCCAGAGGCGGCAGCTGTTCTGGGATTTTTATCTTTTTTAAAAAATATATTTTTTAATTGGTTTCAGAGAGGAAGGGAGAGCAAGAGAGAGATAGAAACATCAGTGAGAGAGATCATTGATCAGCTGCCTCCTGGACACCTCCCCTGGGGTTCGAGCCCACAACCCAGACATGAGAGAGAGAGAGAGAGAGAGAGAGAGACATCAATGATGAGAGAGAATCATTGATCAGCTGCCTCCTGCACACCCCCCAGTGAGGATGGAGCCCGAAACCGGGGCATCGAACCGTGACCTCCTGAACTGAGCCCCGCTGACCGGGCTGCTCTGGGGCTTTAAATCGATCCAAGAACTGGATGAACCAACAGAGCTGAAAGGGGATCCCTCCCCGCCCCTCAGGTCAGGCTGAGGAACCCGATCTCACATGGAGCCATGCTCACCATGCGGAGCCCCCCAATCACCCCAGAGGCCTCCAGCCCTCTCACCGCCACCCCATCCTCAAGCCCCACTTTGTCTGTCTCTCCGTGCAGGACTGGCGTCATGCATTTTAATCTTCATTGTTGGAAGCTGGCAGAGCAGTATTTAATTAAAACCTGGCCCATTAAAGAAACACATCGTTGCCGAAGAAAATAAAAGCACCACAAGATTCCCACCCATGTCGAAAGGAAGCTGTTCCAGACCAAATCGGAGAAGGGGCGGGACCCGAAAGCCGAGAGGGGCCGGGGGCTTCCTCCCGGAGACAACGGCACAGGACGTGGCTCCCTCACTGTCCACCACCCCCCACTCCAGCCCTGGGTGTGTGTGTGGGGGTGGCGGCCCTGGGTGTGTTGGGGGGTGGCGGCCCTGGGATCCCACAGACGAGAGCCGCTGGTCTCGGGCCAGCAGCCAGAGGGACCGTGTGAGAGGACGTGGTCACACACCCAGGAAGGTCCTCCCAGCCTGGGGACCAGACTGGAGTTCCTCGGCAAGCCCTCTCCCTCCCTCCCCCAGCCATGGGGCTGCCCTGAGAGCTGGGGGCCTGAGCTGCCAGGGCCCCAAGACCGGCATGAGCAGGTGTCTAGCCTGGAACCCAGAACCTGAAGTGCCCACACACCCCGCCTGCCTCACCCCAGTCCTGAGGCCAGTGCCGCTGCCCGTGAGGACTGCAGGAGGAGTGACATGGCTGGAGGCTGCCCCCATCTTTAGGGACACTGAGACCCTGAGGTGAAGGTACACATCTTGGGGGGAGGGAAGCCTGTGCACTCCCAGAGTTTGAAAGAACCAGGGCAGGACCCCCAGGATGCAGCGGGGAGATGGGGTTCCTCAGCCTGGCCTGGGGGTGGGGAGGGATCCCCTTTCAGCTCTGCCAGCTCAAGCTCGGGTCAGCGGCTGGGCTCCTGCAGCCTGGACAGCAGGGCAGAGGGGGGGGCAGGTTGAGACAGGGTGAGGACCCTCCCAACACCCCAGGTCAGCTGGAGGTCAGAGGGTGTCCTGAGGAGCAAGACCCCTTCCCCAGGCGCCCGCTTCCCTTGGGAACCTATGTCGGGGCTCCTGAATCTCTCCCCTTCGCCGGCTCAGGCCCTGCCGCCTGAGTCCCCCAGCCTCATGGTCCTCCCGCACCCCACCCCCGACCCCCGGACAGTGGGGGTACCGCATGGCTCCTGCCTTCCCGGGGGCTGTCTCTGGGATGGAGGGATGATCTGCAGGAGAGGCGGGAGCCCCCAAAAGCAAGGTCTCCTCCTCACAGGAGGCCTCAGGGGAGGGGCTCAAACTCCCCCTCCCAGAGCCCAAGCCTCAGGCTCCTGTACCCTCTCCAGTGGCCGAGGCCAGAGTGCGCGCCCCCTGATCCCCTCTCCTCTGCCGGCATTGGGGGTTAAGTCCCCATTAGAGAGGGTCCTTGCCCCAACCTCGGGGCCCCTGTTGGAGACTGCCCGCACCCCACATGGAGAAGGGGCGTGCTCGCTGAAGCGGGGAGGGGAGGGGGGCCCAGGAGGAGGGGGAGCGCGGACCCAGGGCTGCAGGG